TAATTTAGTACGATTATGCAATAAAAATCCAGGCCAGATAAATCTTTTATGTAGATTTAATTGTGAAGTTGCGTGAAGATAATTGGTATAAATGATATAATTATTGCAGCTTCCTTATAGTTTTTTAATATCTTAATTTACAAACAATTACGAGTATATAAAATTGTGTGATTAATATCTATGTTATAATTCAAATTATATGTGTGATAGAAAACTATTGTATTACTTTATAATGTGTTTCTTGAACGATCTTGTTATGTTTAATATAATTATTATTCGTAAAAAATCTGTATATTAATATGATTTTTATATGTCAAATTTTCTAAATTATTAAAAAAATATAATAATATTTCGAAATATGTAATAAAAACGTCTGTACAATTGAATTTTTTATCAAAAATAATAATTTTAAAAACGATCTAAATTGTTATTCCTAAAAATATATTTATTAATTCAGAGTGATTTTGTTTTAGTGACGTCAATGTTAAAATAAATTTACGAAGAAAAATAGCATTTCATATTGAATAATGTTCAGAATTAAGTGAAAGCGAGCGAATATAACGAAATATTTGACACTCAATTTAAAGATGCTTCAACATAATAATAAATAAATTTGTCACGCATAATATACATGTCTATATAAATATATATACATATATATGCTTATATATATTTTTGGTGTTCAATTCCCTTTAAACTAAAGCATCAATTGATTATTCCAAATTTTATAACTAAAATATTATTTTAAATAAAACCTACATTAATTAATATTTTTATTAGAAATCAATAGTTAAGATGACTACAATTTAACTATTTATCTAAAATAATTATATTTTTTTATATAAGAAACACGAAATTAGGTTAAAATTAAACAATTATAGTGTATTCGCTCAATAAATATCTGCCTGATATATTATTGTTCACGCACTACTGTTCGGGGTCGGATACATAAAGACTAAAGCAAGCAACAATTTTAATACGTAATAGGTATTATTAGATTCCAATTATATTAAGATCTGTTCTTATATCTCACGTTTATAAACTTAAAATATTTCTATGTATTTTGTTTATTTTGAACATTATCTTAAACTTTCCGTAAATTAGAAAGTGGCTTTATGCTTGAGGTAACAAAAAAATATATATTTGAGACAAAAACTAATTGCGTCACTATGATATATTGTTGTTACAAGATTTTTTTATACTAGTGCAATACTACTGTTTTTTATCTCCTACTAACCACTATACAGGGTGACTGGTGAATTACTATCGATATTTGAGGACGTGATATTTGACGATCATATATGACAAAATAAAAATTAATATAACATAAATATTAATAAACTTCTAAGTAAAGTTAACCAAAAGTTGTGTAATTAATTACGCATCGTATGAACACCCTACAGATTACGCTACACTACACACTCACACATACGCGCGCGGCGGCGTGTTGTTGTATCAGCACGCCGCCGCGCGCGTCCACACTAGGAACACTTGGAACGTGTACACACTTTATTTATTTATACGGAAATTTGGTCAAAAATTAAGTACCTATTTTTTTTACATAATTCGAATGAGAATCATGTACCGAGTATGCTCCTTAAATATTGATAGTAATTCACCAGTCACCCTGTATAAGGTCCAAGCCAATCTTCACGTATGTCGAGAAATAAGTTTTTTGTCACACTTGATTCACTCCGCTAAGATTAACTCTGAATAAACGTTTTTTCTTTATATTAACTTAAATAAGGTGGGATTTTTGCTAGAATTAATGAAAAATATTTCTGTAGTTTATCTAAAGATAAGTATATCCACTAAATATTAATGACAAATTTAAAATATTACTCCACATCTTTACTTCTAGATATTTAATGTAATTATTATAGACTATTGATTTTAAAAGTATCTATCTATGTGTAATACTCATTAAAATAGAAAAAAAATTTTGAATCGTTCTTTGAACATTTTTCATGTCCGTCCTAGTTACTTTTTATGTTGTTTTTGTATTTGAAATACGTTTTTTAAAAGAATATTTGCGATAAAAATACAATTTCATCTCAATATCACTATTAATATATTGTATATATATATAATATAATCTATAATTAGTAATGTATTGTTTATTTAAAGACATATGAAACAAGAATTCAGCAATATTAAAAAGATGAAGTGAGGTCCGCCAAAATAAAAAAATGAAGTTAGAGAAAATCAAGATATATTTCTCACAAAACACAGAAATAAAATCTGAGTTTGGTTTTTACCTTAAAGATGGAAGTTTATAGCTCAATCTTTTTTTATTGTAAATTTACTTGCATCCATTTAATCAAAGCTAAATAAAATAAAAAAATGAACATTTTAAACTTTCATAAATGGATTTTTTAAAATCTTGAAAAATATATATAAAGAAAAATATATAATATGTATAATGCAATAAAAGCAACACAACAGAACAATAAGAACATACACGTATATGTACTTAAAATTAAAATAACTTCTTTTAATCATAAGTTACTAATTGTTTAAAAGGCAACTGCTTACACAAGGTTTTAGTCTTAATTACTCAATAATAATATAATGCGTCTAAGTAGGTCGAACTATAATTTGATATTAGTAATTTTTGAAAAGAAAACCAAGTATTTAGTAATAATGCTGGACAAAAGATGAAAATACATTTAAATTTATAACTCATTGAAATTAAATCCTTATATGCCCAAGATTTGAATAATAATTTTCTTTAATATAATGAAATCCCAGAAATTTTTATGTGTCTTAAAGCTTTTCTTTGTAAATAACACTTTTCTTGGGTTATATATTTGACAATTTGTATACAAGCTATTACCTAATAACATCAATTTTTTTTTTAAAGTAGGATAAGAGTGTTTTCCTTGTTTTAAAATACTATTGAGTTTTCTTTTTATTTCTGAACTTCAGCGACAACTATGGCAGATATTACAGCTTCAGCATATAAGCGACGGTCATTTATCGTCAGCTTATATAAAATTTTACAATACCACAAATAAAACAAAACTAATATTTTGAAATCATTTTAATGTTAGAAGTGACAGTGACCATATTATATATCAAATGGATTATATTTCCTATTTTCAATCGAATTTCTACTTATTTGAACTGAAAAAAAAGTAATTGTTTATTCTAAAGTATAAATATTATAACAAATTATTTATATATTTTCTGCAAGTTATAGATATAGCATTTTAAAATATATATAATAGACATTTGGCAGTTGATAAACGGAATACGTATACTATAAATGCTTTTTTATTAATTGATTAAATAATTTTGCAGAAGAAATACGTACAATGATGTTTAAATTATATTTTATATCGACGAAAATAAAACACCTTGTTTCATAGATTGTGTCTTTTTGAGGATGATAAATTTAAATGAAAATTATTTACACCAATATTGTTTAATGTTCGCTGTCAATAGTGAAGGTTTTAAAAGTTTATTTTACAATATTAGAAAATATACAGATACAAAGTAAGTTAGTGAAGACTTTGAGAAACAAAAAACGAGCAGAAAAGTGATTCATAGTGAACAATTTTGGATAAAAATAAAAAGGTATCTTAAGCTGCATGTTATATTGGCGAGTATTACTAAGCCTAACTTCTTATTTATAGATTTTCATGTTATGCTATAAATTGTACTTCATTCTTTCAATTATATTATAAAAATCGATAGCGTAAAAGTTTATTATCTTTGTATAAAGGAGCAAGAAATGTTTTTTTAAATGTTGTTTATTACTAAGCTGAGAAATATATAATAAGCAAGCGACCGTCCAAAACAAGAAAAATAGTCGATAAACAATTTTTATCATGAATTTTAACATGATATAGTTTTTCAATAATTATTTACCCATTGAATGTAAATAAACAATTAGAATTTAGTTTATAAAGTACGCCAAACATATTGAAAATTAAACGCTCATCGTCGAGGCAACGACGTTGTATGATTAAAAAAATCATACAACGAGTGACTTTGCCGACTCCGCGAAACAAATACAAACTAGAAGATTCCTGATTCTACACAAGAAATGGAATGACATTGCTATCGTTAGGATCGTGGCAATGATGTAGTCTCAGGTTATAAGTTTTAATATGTAATTATTATTATATACATATAAGTAAGTTTCAAAGTTTTTTTATCCTCTGGTTTGTGAAATTCAGTATACACTCAGTACATATAGTATTTTATTATTTCAATTACATAATAACGTTAAATTATTTTATTGTTTATTATTGTTGTAATTACCTGCAAGCTGTTTGAGATTTTAATAAATGTATTTTGGGTTAAAACACCTACTGATTATGTTTGATTCATTAAAGTAAAAAAATCTCATTATAAACTTACCAGTTACTTATTTCATCGGCAATTTTTTTTGTTGAATCGTAATGAAGTTAACTAATTTGATTTGTTAAAGTTTTAATACAATCAGAATTTACTTTGCTTTAAGTGTTTAAACAGCTCGTTTTTAATTTTCGTTTGAAAAGTATTTTTAATAGAAAGGTGCTACGCTCTTTTGGAATAAAATTTAGATTACTTTAAAGTTTTATTTTTTTTTAATACGGCTATGATTTATTTAGCTTCTGTAATTTTGCCTACTTTTTATTGCAAAGCACGATAAATAGGAATGACAAAAAAATATATACTTTTCTCAAAGAATAGAAATTTCTCTGATTTCAGTCACAGAAAAATATTTGTAAACTGTAAGATGGTCACAAAAAATATTTATAAACTAACTTCTTTAATATTAATTTTAATAATTAAATCAGTTAACGTTCACTTTGAGAATTAAATGAGTTTGAAATTCTGTTACTTTTAACTCAAAGGAGATTGAATTAATTATTTCAATGTATTATCCTAATTTTAATAATAACTTAAAAAAAATTAAATAGGAAAACTAAAAATTAACAATGAAGTAATATATAAAAACTTTGTTTAGTTAAAAAATAAACTTGAATGTTGTAATAGTTTTTTTTATATTAGAACACTGTTACACCGAAATTACAAATACTGTATTGTATAAAGCTCGCTATGAAGAAAGGAGATATGAAGAGGAATCCTTCTAAAATATCAGAAGGAATGTCTGCATTGAACGCAACCGCTGATGGAAGTAGCCGGACATCTAAAAAAAAAAAAAAACCTGCTTTAGTTTAAATCAATAGAAAATACAACAAGATATCAACACTGTAATGAGAAAAAATAGTCTATATGTTACGACGAAATAACGGTTTCAAACCCATATAAATAGGCAGGATATTTTTACATTAAAATCATTTTATTTATATATAAAATTGATATTATTTCTCTCCATTGTAATAGACTAACAAATATCGGAAACTCAAAACAAAAATCGATGCTAGTTTCAAAAAATCATTTATAAATAAAATTTATAATATTTATTATTAAAACAATGATTATGTAATACATATTAAAAAAAAATAAATCCTTTATTAATAGTATATTTATATATTATGGACCTATTGCTATGTTATTTTCTGTTCAAGACTCATAGCTAACTGAAAATAATAATTAAACAGAATATTTATTTAAGAATTCATTAATGTGTAATACATACCACCAAAAACGTTAGGTCCGAAAGCGAAATACGGGGCACGTAGTGGTTGCGAGAATGAAAAAACTTCACTGTTTTGCAGTTGCAAATCTTTCAAATTTGGTACTGTTATTGTTGAACTCACGGTAACTAAAATAGAAATAATTTATAATTCTTATCATCACTTTTCTATTAATATAGCAGCTGCTCTAGATGTGATAACTCCAGGATATACAGTTTATATTAATTTAATAAATGGATGTAAAATGTATAGCAATTAATTGAAGTTTTTGGTCATAATAGAATTATTAAATAAGTTAGTATCGAGAGTATTACAGTAATTAAAAACAAATTTTGATACTTCCTAAAAGAAAACACAGTTTTTTCGCAATAAAATCATCAATATGGGAAAATTACTTACAGTAAGTTACATTAAAGAAGGAATTCGTAACGAGGGGCTCTCTTCCAACTCTTTCGAACTGGAAGTAATTGTCGTTCGATGCAAAAGTGAAACCCTCAAAATCGACTGATAACACCAATCTATCAGTCTTGGGGTTTATGCTAAAAATAGTATATTATGTAAAGCAAAAAGATAAGGATATAATTGATATATAGCTTTGATATTACTTACTAAAACTCAACGATTTTTCCATTAAGCCCACCGTATTCCACTTTTAATGAAGTGAGGGTCATATTAACTCTTGGCAAATAGAGAGTAAATTCAGGATCATACAACGGGTCTGGGACAGGCCCGTAAGTTATTCTACAACGAGAATGTTCCGCAAAAAATTTTCTTATACAATTTACGTCGTAAATCCTACAAGGTCTTTCGATGTAGCCCTCATCGTCTAAAAATAAAAAACCCCTTACTTTAAAAATATACGAAATATACATGTATGTATATGTATCACAATATAATTCTTATATACGTTACTTTTTCTCAAACTTAGAAAATCACTTTTACTCTTAAATGTCGGCAAAAGACTTGTCATTACATTTCTACTTAAATAAGAATATCTACAAAATTCAATAGAAATTTAAAATAGAATAATAAACATACCAGGTGTGGACACTCCGAATGATTTTCTTGCTTTGAGATCTGTAAATTATAAAGTTATTAGAACTTTACAAATATTATTTCAATTAAATGTATGTTATTAGTAACTTACATGGCCAGCTACGGGCATTGTATTCATTTTCTGGTTGAGATAATATATCTGGTGCTGAAATATAACTATTATAAGTAACAATACTAGTCTTAACTGTACCATAATTAAACCAAACCTTACCTAATGGTATTAGATTTTCGTTGCTCTCCACCCCGGAGGAAAGAAACACAAAAACTAAACAGGCAAGCAACATTTTTGAACAATACAATAGTTATTGAGTATGCAACTATTTTATATTACCTACACTTTGCGTGGCATTGTAATTAAGATAATTCGATCCATATTATTTTTTCATTAACAAAGCAATCTTTTAAAGGTTTTAACAGCTGTTTGTTTTATTAGGCCATTTTTAACAGCTGTTTGTTTTATTTAGTGATCATAAAGTATACTTCAATTAAACTGAGGACAATGATATATTGTTCTTTTTATTTAAATATACTTTAAATAAGAAAAGACTCGAATAACACTTAAAAATGTTTGTATAAAAAAATTATAAGAGGTATATACCCAAAATAAAAATCATAAAAAAGTTGAGGTTAATTTTTTAATACTATTTTCAAGCCAACCTGCGAGTCTTTATATTGACACTGGCCTTTTTATACTTATTTTTATCCCAAAGGTGCTATGACTCTTTGGGATAAGTTTAAGTTCCTGTAAAATTGTAGTTAAAGGTGGTAAAATAATAAAAAACTGAATAATCACTTCTGTAATAAAATACGGTAATGTTTTTTTGTTTCTGTAATTTTTTTTGTAAAACTGAAGATTTGATGTCGGTATTGCCAAAAGTACAAAGAAACGTGTAAAGAAACAGATAAATAAAAAATATATTCGAATGTTGTAAGTTTTTTATATATTAGAAAACTGCTACACCGAAATTACAAATACTGTATTGTATAAAACTCGCTATGAAGAAAGGAGATATGAAGAGGAATCCTTCAATAATATTGGATGGAACGTCTGCCAAGAACGCGAGTGCTGATGGAAGTAGCCGAACATCTAGAAAATTTAAAACCTGCTTTATTAAAATCCAATAGGAAATACAACACAATATTAAAACTAAAATTTGAAAAAAAAGAAAAGAATATATTACTACGAAATATTGGTTTCAAACACATGTAAATAGGCGAAATATTTTTACCATTAAAGCAACGAAAAATTATTTCTTTCATCGTTAACAGGTTTGATAAAAATCTATGGTAGTAATTTTAACAGTCTGAGTTACATTTGGTCATGTATAAGTAAGATTTATAAAAGTATTTACTTTTAAAAAAGACAAAAATTTGGTAAGAATTATTTTAAAAACTTAATACCTATAATAATATTTTATAAGTAACTGACTCAAAATAAGAATTTAATTTAATATTTACTGAAGTATTGATATTTCTGTCATACGTACCACCGAAAGCTTTGGGTCCCACATCGAAAAGAGGGTAAACTGGTGTGTCCGAAAATGAAAAAACTTCACTGTTTTGAAGTTGCAAATCTTTCAAATTAGGTATGGTGATTGTTGAACTTACGCTTCCTATAATAAAAACAATTTACAATAAAATTATTATAATCAGTGCTTTTCTCGTAATATAGCAGCATCGAAAAATGTTACAACTGCAATCTATACAACTTTGAAAACATATGTTCGTTTCTATTTAAATAACGTACCATAATTAACTGAAGTTCATCCCAAATTTAATAATGAAATTAATTAATTAGTTACAAACAATAGTATTTAATTTAATTCCTATTGTTTTTTCCTAAAACAGAAGATACTATTTGGTATACAATTATTATAAGAAGGAATAATTACTTACTGTAAGTTACATTAAAGAAGGAATTCGTAACGAGGGGCTCTCTTCCGACTCTTGAAAATTGGAAATAATTGTCGTTTGAGACAAAAGTGAAACCCTCAAAATCGACTGATAGCACTAATCTATCAGTCTTGGGGTTTATGCTAAAAACAAACAGTATTTTATGTAAAACAAAAAGATAAGGATATAATTGATATAGAGCTCTAATATTACTTACTAAAACTCAACGATTTTTCCATTAAGCCCACCGTATTCAATTTTTAATGAAGTTAGAGTTATATTAACTCTTGGCAAATAGAGAGTATAAAAAGGATCGTACAGAGGATCTGGGACAGGCCCATAAGTTATTTTACAACGGGAATGTTCCGCAAAAAATTTTCTTATACAATTTACGTCGTAAATCCTACAAGGTCTTTCGATGTAGCCCTCATCGTCTGAAAATAAAAACATTATTATTTGTATACGAAATATACTCGTATATATTTTGTATATTAGTAAAAGTCATAAATTTATAATCTATCTACATATATAAAAAAGAAATGCTGTTCCTTAGTCTCACTAAAACTCGAGTACGGCTGAACGGATTTACCTTATCTTAGTCTTGAAATGTTTGTGTAGGTTCAGGGAAGGTTAAAAAGCTGAAAAAAATTGATTCATTTCCGGGAAAACCCTAAAAAATAGCCCTTTTCTATTTCCCACACAAACGTTTTCTTTGAAATTAGATTTGACTACTAACTAATATGTCAATCATTCTGTTCGATTGAAACAGGAGAAACCTGATTACTAATAGCCTCTAAAACGGAATAGAGTTCGCCCGGTCAGCTATACATATATTACTAATGACGAAACTAACGCGGACGAAGTCGCAGGCAAAAACTAGTGTACATATAAAAATACAACTCTTCAGAACGTATTTTGAAATTTAGAACATCATTAACGCGTTTTTTTACTCTAGAATTTTCTGAATCACTTTTCTATTATGAACCATGTCTGTAAAGGCTTCACCATTAGATTTCTACTTATATAAGAGTCACTAGAAGCTTAAGATAAAATAGCGGAACAAACATACCAGGTGTGGACACTCCGAATGATTCTCTTGCTTTGAGATCTGTAAATTATAAAGTTATTTGAACTTTACAAATATAATTTCAATAACATTTATGATATTGGTAACTTACATGGCCAGCTTCCACTATTGTAATCATTTGATGGTTGAGCTAATATATCTGGTGCTGAAATAAAACTATTATAAGTAACAGAACTTATGTCTTAACTTTACCATAATTAAACCAATCCTTACCTAATGGTATTTCATTTTTGGTGCTCTCCACTTCAGAGGAAAGAAACACAAAAACCAAACACACAAGAAACATTTTTGAACAATACAATAGTTATTGAGTATGCAACTATTTTATATTACCTACACTTTGCGTGGCATTGTAATTGAGATAATTCGAAATCTTATTAATTTATCATTAACATAGCATCCTCTTAAAGATTTGATTCAGTTTTTAATAGCTGTTTATTTTATTTTGTAATCATAAAGTATACTTCGACTTAACGTAAGATGTTATATTTTTCAATTATGTTATTAAATTACTTTTTACTTATATACATTCTGAATAAGAAAAGACTGGATTTACTCTTTGAAATGATTTATATAGTAAAATGCTTTGCAATGTCCATTACAAAATGTTAAAGGAGATGTAAACCCACTATTAAATTCATAAAAATATTGAGATTAATTTTCAAATACTATTTGCAAGCTATCTTGTCATGAGGCATGTCTATGTTAGACATCGACTTTTATAAAATTATATCTTTAAAATGCATTCAATACTACTGAGTAATAGAGAAAAAATCTAATTATATGAACATTGATTTGAACTACAGCAAATATTTCTTTGTTTTCTTTTTTCCATGTTCATTAAATTTAACTAAGAATAGACTTGGAGTTTACATTTAAACAAAATGTTCACAAGTTTAACACTGGAGAATTAAGAAAGAGATGTAACTGTAAAAATATTAACACTTGATAAATACGATAGAATACATATTAAAAAAAAAACTCAAAGTTTTAACTTAGCTTTATCTTATTAAAAGAAATAGTTAAAGAATAATTAATTATTGATATAAAATTATGAAGCTTTATTTTAAATTAAATTGTCTAATAAAAATGTCTAATAAAATTATAATTCTCTTAAAAAATATATAACATTTTTAGAAGCGGTAGTATTTATACAGCAGCCATTTTAAAATATTTCAGTAGTCACATCTTGATCTAAATTGAAAAAAAATCTGGACTACCATAGTTGAAACTACTACAATGGTAGAAATAAAGAATAACTGTGCTATTACGACTATAATAAAATAAATTATAATGATGTTTGAAATAATCGGGTTAAGTGTATGATAGAGTTTTATATTTGAAATAAGATTATGGAGGTAGTATTATAATTAAGTTATTTTTGGTCTCAATGAAGTCTTAAACCTGAAACAGTATAAAAGTATAATGAAAAATTGTAAATATTTGCAAAATAAATTAAATGGCAAGTTAAAAACATTTTTATTTTCATTTGTGCCCAATAGATTTCTTTTTTCAACATTTAACTAATTTGTAGTTGAAAACATAATAAGATTTCATGTTTATTTGAATTTAATGTTTGACATTCCTGTATAAAAATTCAGTAATAACGCTTATATTGGCAGACCCTGGCTAAAGCTGGGAGGTTGCCAGGAAGAAGAAGAAGAATAGCGCTTATATCTTTTAAGTCAATTAGAATATTAGTTCTTCGAACTAATAATTTACACATAAAGATATTCACATATTATTATTAAGGTTTTTTATAAATAAAAGTCTAATAAACCCCATAAACTATTAGTCATATTTTTTTATTTAAATTTACAGAATTCATAATTATATTCTTACTATTTTTTATGTAACTTTATTCTTATTCTTTTCAACATTACGATTAGCACGAAAATGTTTCGAAACTAAAATTAAAAATGAAAAATTCACTAAATAATACTTTGTTACTTAATAATTTTTTGTTGTTTTAAAATACATATATATATAATGTTTTTTGTGATTTGAAATGATATTTATAAATCAATTTAAATTTGTCTCCAACAACAGAATTTTAATATTTTTCATCAGAAAACATCGTCGTTTTTTATGTTTGTACAAACACGAATGTGGTTGGAATTCAAGATAAATACATTTGTTTGCTATTTAAAGGTAAATAAAACGGTAAATTTTGTATTGTAAATATATTTTCTATATAAAAATCGTTTATATAACCTTTAAATGGAAATCACATATGTTATTTTGGATAAAGGTTGCAGCAGAAAACGGTCCTTCAGTCAACTGTGCCTCCTGTGCTAATTGAGGTAGTCTGGGAATTATATCCGCTCTTGCCTTTTGTACAGATGGATCTAAAGTAAAAAAAATAAAAATAATTACAATCAATTGTTATTTTTGTGTTGATTATATAGATAAAAAGAAATAAAATCAATATTCATTCAAAAAAAAATTAAATTGAGTTTGGTACATGACATCGGAACGGGATGAAAAATTTAGAAATAGCCAAATCATAAATTAAATATGTAATTTGCTCTAATTTCACTATAATACAGTAGTTTTTTGTTGGGTGATAATACTTTATAGCAACGATTTGACTATATTTTACCAGCTTATATGTAAAAAATAAAAATATACATAATTTTATTTAATTACTTCACTTAACTGAACCTAGGATATAAATTATTTTCTTCTTAAATCCAAAATTAAACTATAAGATAAAAATATAGTTGATATAAACATAGTTTTATCTTTTAATTTAATTTAAAAAGATTTATTAATAAACCTTACAATTAAAACAGCCTGCCTATAATTTAGTCTTAGTCTTATTTAAGACTTATTATTTTCAGATTTAATTACATAAGTGTTAAATTCTATAAACATATTGTATTTTGTTATGCCATACCTGGATAATTAAAAGCATTCGGTCCAATACTGAAGGAAGGTACAGTGTTAGTAAAAGTATAGGTTTTACTTCTCGCTAATTGTAGATTTCGTATTTTGGGTATTATAGTGGTAGTTATGTAGGATTCTGAAATTAATTGTTTACTAATAATACTTACTTATGAAACTTTATATTATAAGCATAAAAAATTAATTGCAATTATATTTAAAATATTATTCGAGTCTGTATAACTTACGATAGTTTATATACATATAGTCGAAAGTAGTGACCGGTTCTCTGGCACGTCGGAAAACCCTAAAGAAGACGTCTTTAGAATAAAAGGTCACATTCCGGAACTCAACAGCTATCACCAATCTATCTGTGTCTCTATTGATGCTAAAAAAACACATAGAATAATGTTAATCACTATATTTTTTTACACTTTTCTAGTAAAAAACCAACACGAAAGAAACTATGAAGCTTTTGCTTTACTTACTAAAACTCAACTATCCTGCCGTTAAGACCTGAGTAGAGGACGTCAAAGGCTGTGTATGTGGCATTAATAATTGGTAGTTGCAGTGTACTCTGGGCTCTATAGTATGGATCAGGAACGGGTCCTAAGACTTCCTTACATTTACTGTTCTTTTTGAAGTACCGTCTGATACAGTAAATATCGAATGATTGACACGGCCTCTCTATGTTAGTTTCATCACCTATGGAGTTATGGGAATAATAAATAAACATATATACGAAATTAAGTTCTGATCTTAAACAGCATTTAAATATTATTTCGTTTCATAATTAAAGATTATTTAGTTTCATAATTGAATATATACATTTGAGTCAAAAATAAGATTTTATTGATGAAACCATACCTAATATTACACTTGATATCGGTAAATTTCCTTGGTTGAGATCTGAAAATAAGATTTATATTTAAATATTAACAAAATAATATTTGTAGATTTACGTGCCTCAAGTAAAGAGGTAAAGGTTAAGGTCTATTTCTTATTTCATAGTGTTAAATAAACATATTTTTGTGAATTAACTGAAATTTTCGTAGTCATACATTAGGAGTTTGTATTAAAATTTGATATAAATTTGAGTAAGCTATTTAAATAAGACTTGATTTATTCTTCATAAAGGGAGCTTAGCACCAAAAATAATTTATGTATTTGTTAATTACTTACTGATAGGGATTAAATTTACTAAATTTCCAAGTGAGTTCTGCGCTCCACCTGAAGCTAAACGAAATAATACACTAGATTTACAATATTCTCGTATTAATTTTATTTATTTTTTGTTTAATAAAGGCATACTTACGCTGTGAGCCGGTATTTCCTGAATTACCATTTCCATTTTGTCCTAGGCCTGGAACTAAACAAGATGACATGGGTTGTATTTTCAACATACTTGTTTTAATAAAATTTATATTTCTTTACTAATTGTATACACTTACGCTGTGAGCCAGAATTGCCAGAATTACCAATTCCGCCCTGTCCTAGGCCTGGAACTAAATAAGAGGATATGGGTTGTATTTTCAACATACTTGTTTTAATAAAATTTATATTTCTTTACTAATTGTATACACTTACGCTGTGAGCCAGAATTGCCAGAATTACCAATTCCGCCCTGTCCTAGGCCTGGAACTAAATAAGAGGATATGGGTTGTATTTTCAACATACTTGTTTTGATAATTTATATTTCTTAACCAATTGTATACACTTACGCTGTGAGCCAATATTGCCTAAATTACCAATTCCGCCCTGTCCTAGGCCTGGAACTAAATAAGAGGATATGGGTTGTATTTTCAACATACTTGTTTTAATAAAATTTATATTTGTTTACTAATTGTATACACTTACGCTGTGAGCCAGAATTGCCGGAATTACCACTTCCGCCCTGTCCTAGGCCTGGAACTAAATAAGAGGATATGGGTTGTATTTTCAACATACTTGTTTTAATAAAATTTATATTTGTTTACTAATTGTATACACTTACGCTGTGAGCCAGAATTGCCGGAATTACCACTTCCGCCCTGCCCTAGGCCTGGAACTAAATAACAGGATATGGGTTGTATTTTCAACATACTTGTTTTAATAAAATTTATATTTATTTACTAATTGTATACACTTACGCTGTGAGCCAATATTGCCTAAATTACCAATTCCGCCCTGTCCTAGGCCTGGAACTAAATAAGAGGACATGGGTTGTATTTTCAACATACTTGTTTTAATAAAATTTATATTTGTTTACTAATTGTATACACTTACGCTGTGAGCCAGAATTGCCAGAATTACCACTTTCGCCCTGTCCTAGGCCTGGAACTAAATAAGAGGACATGGGTTGTATTTTCAACATACTTGTTTTAATAAAATTTATATTTGTTTATTAGTTGTATACACTTACGCTGTGAGCCAGAATTGCCAGAATTACCAATTCCACCCTGTCCTAGGCCTGGAACTAAATAAGAGGACATGGGTTGTATTTTCAACATACTTGTTTTAATAAAATTTATATGTATTTGTTTGCTAACTGTATACACTTACGCTGTGAGCCAGAATTGCCAGAATTACCACTTCCGCCCTGTCCTAGGCCCGGAACTAAACAAGGGGACATGGGTTGTATTTTCAACATACTTGTTTTAATAAAGTTGATGTTTGTTTACTAATTGTATACACTTACGCTGTGAGCCAGAATTGCCAGAATTACCAATTCCACCTTGTCCTAGACCTGGAACTAAAAACGATGATAAAAGTTGTATTTTTAGATACATACTTATATTAAATAAATTTTATAGTTGATTACTACTGGTATATACTCACGCTGTGAGCCAGTATTGGGCAAATTACCAAGTCCGCCCTGTCCTAAATCTGGAACTAAAAACAAAAATAGATTTTATTTCCAATTTATTAAACATATTTTATTTTATAAAGTTTTTTTACAAAAAGGTGTTAACTACTTACGTTGTGGAATTAAGTTTTGTGTATTACCTAAACCACCCTGTCCACTATCTCCATCTGAAAATTATGTCTTTTGTATAAAAAAGAGTTATTTATTATTATTACTGAATAATTCCTCATATTTTTTAAAAATCCAAAACTTGGTTAATAATATTTACCTAACACCATTTCCTAAAGTTGTTTAACACAAGTAATTATTATGTAATAATGTGTTTCTTTAACTTACTGTTGCTACCAAGATTCCCGATCGGTCCAGGTCCGATGTCTACTCAAACAGGTTCATATAGAAGAAGAATTATTTTTTTAAATATAATTTTACTAATATTATAAATATTAATAATATTAAGCAAATGAAAACATTTGTTGAAAAAGGGTAAAAATCTTTTTACATTGATATATATGAGAAAACATGTGTTCATCAATTAGTAGTAATTATTATGATTTCTTTTACTACATATCAAGTGTTCTATGTACTCGTTAATTCTCTTATCATGTATTATTTCAGACAAATTATTATATCCATCTGTTGAACTTTAGGTTCATATAAAATAAAAAGTTATCGATCTTAATCAAAGTTATTAATGCATCAGTAAATTCTTTGGTATAATATGTATTTCATTTACTTACTTGTAATCGGTTCAATTCCGAAAACACCCCCTAGTCCATCTATAAAAGAAATATTTTATTTATAGTGGCTAAGGTACAAAACAAACATATAACTTAAAGAGCTCTTGCATTTTTAAAGATATTTTATTTCTCAACATGAAATACCAAACAAAATTATCTTTATGAAAACTTGTTAATCTTTAATGAATTAATTTTAAGTATTAAATTGTTCATTTGTATGTACATTTTTTAATATATAGTAAAAATTACTTACTGTTCTGACCGGAATTTCCTATGTTACCAAGCGCCCCGGGTGAATTGGGGAGATCGGAAACTAATTTAAGAAAAAAAATACATAAGTATAAAGAAATTACCTAACCAATAATTATATTATATATGTATTTTGATTACCATTAGGTATTTCGAAATTATTACCGCATTTCACAAGTTGAATCACAAAGGATAACAGTACTATTGAGTACATTTTTACACTTAACAACAATGATTACAATAAAACTGTATTCATGTAAGATTTATACTATTCATCGCGTGATCAGTTTTTAGACCAACGTTATAAACAGTTTACCGGTAATTATTCATTACAATCCTTTATACAGAGTGTTGTTTTATTATTTTAAAACGTTGAAATAAAAAAAAAACGTCCTATATGTATATACATATTGTTGGGCTGTTATTTTTATTTTAGTTTACACTCACGATTTATTGACCGTGGGATTAAAATTTAATAATTTTAAGTTTGACTTTGACTTAACTTAAAAAGATAGGTTTAAAAGATAGAAAATTACAATTTGTAGTTGTTTTGTCAAATATTTTAAGCCACATTCGTTAGGGACCTGAAGGGAGTTTATTAAATACATTAAATTCTATATGTTATTCTAATCTACTCTCTGTATAACACATAAATTTTATCAAAATCTGTGCAAGCAGTTTTGCGTGAGGGAACAAAAATTATCCTTAAATTCTGATCAAACTTTCTAATTTGTAATATTTAGTAGTATTTAAGTATCTTGAAGTCTAAATTCGAAAAATTATCATCAGTCTATCAGAGCCCACTACTGCGCAAAGCCTCTTTCTCACATGGAGAAGGTTTTGAGCAGTAATCACCACGCTTGCTTAAGACGGGTTGGTGATTTCAAACTTATAATTGTGAAATTTTAAGTCCAGGTTTCCTCACGATATTTTCCTTCACCGTCTATCAGTGGTATCTAAATACTCTTAGTACGAGTACATATGACTCGGAAAAATCACATTGGTACTTGCCAGGATCGAACCCGCGCCCTCGTGCACGAGAGGCGGGCCCTTTAATCACTAAGCCACCACTGACTTAATTTGAAACATAGTTTTCTTCAATAAAATAATATGTTTGTTTTGTTTAAACGCTTTATCTTTATAGTTGCCATATAAAGTTCACAAAACAATTATCTACAGTATCCTGTAGTCAAAAAATTTTGTCTGAATAATGTAGTCATTATCATATTTTAGCAACTAATAAAATTATAAAAAAGCTGTCGATTAAGCCAAGTAAAATAGTATATTTTAAAAATTCTTTATTTGCCTAGTTTATTCTTTTTTTGCTAAGGAAAACACAACAGATATTCTAATTTTTGTTACCCACTAGCATACTTTTGATTGGAATCCTAGATACGGTCCAAACCCTTTAACAGTGACGAATCGAAGGCCCGAGGTCAAAGTAAGGGTTTTAAATTCGGCATTGGTAAAAAATGTGATAATTGTGTTAAGAAACGTGTTACTCATGTGTGTGTGTGTGTATATATCCATAATAACAAAACTGTATCTTTGAATCTAAATAACTTAGTTCTATAAACACAGACAGAAGTAGAAGAACTCTCTATTTTACATCTACTCCAATATCCGCGCACTCACATCTTCAGTCTTAATGCCTCGCTAGCCACCATGAGGTGACCATTGGCTTGTTTATGCTAATATAAAACGGATTTTAAATTAAAATTAATATTCAGAGTTATTCGGAATGCTAATGATATAAGAAAGTTATCTACCATTCTTTTATAATATAATTAATATCAAATTGTAAATTACATTTTATTTAAATGCTTAACAGCTACATCAAGGATAAAACGTCATTAGTGTAATATTCTTTTAGTTAACAATTTAATAAATTATAATATGTAAATGGCTACATCTTATATGGATAAGAAGCAGTTATTAAGAAGAGGAGGGAAATAGAAAAAAATATATATTGTTCTAGATTAAAGAATACTTTATATAAATGAAACTAATATTTTTCGAATGTACTACGGATTTTTTATTTTTGAAAAAAAAAAACTATATACTCCCGAATTTTAAGATACTTTACAGCAACCGTGATCACGGGCAGACGAGATGTGTGCAAACGTCAGGAGTATGTGGTTTTTTATAAATAATAAAAATCGCGTAGTATATCCGATTTTTTTTTATTTTTTATTTATGTACCAAACAGATTAAAATAGTTACAATAAAAGTATTATAAAAGAAATGTGATGTACAAAGGATAACTTATCTCTTAAAAGAGATCTCTACCAGAAACCCTTTTGATAGAGGAAATGAGAAGAGAAATGTGGCATAGGTACAATAAAATGAGAGAAGGAATATACATAAATATATATACATAAATACATACATAGAATATACATAAATATATACAAATAAATACAATATATACATAAATATATATAAATACATAAACATTACATATTATATTAAGGTAAAAGTGATAGAAGATGTCTCTTAAGTCGATATTTAAAGGCTAATGCACTTGGACTCTCTTTGTAAACAGAAGGTGGGAGAGAGTTCCAAAGTTTTGCACCTTGGACGGAGAAGGATTTAATATTATTATGACGTTATCGTCATTCCTCTAAATAGTTTTTCAGTTATCTAAAGCAATATTCAATACAAATATTTATTAATAATAGTTTTCATTTATTATTATTATTTAAAGTTACAATTCAAAAAAATATTCTTGAACAAGAACAACTATTATTCTTGTAGCAAGATAATGTGTATGAATAATAAAACATTATTTAATGAAACGTTAGTAATTTATTTTTGGTAATATTAAAATACGACTAAGCCAAAGTCACAGATACTGTATTGAATGAAGCTCGCTATGAAGAATGTTGATTCAAAAAGGAACTCTTCTGGTATTGTTGACTGAGGATCTCTTAAAAAATTTACAGCTGTAGGTAGCAAACGAACATCTGAAATATAAATAAAAAAAATTAATAAAACAGTTATGGTACATATAAAAAAGGGTATTAAATATCAACCCTCAATTATATCTCATGTGAAAAAAAAATTTCTTCCGCTTTTAGAATGTACATATTTATTTATTAATTTGATATTATTTGTATATAAAATTCAATAATGATTTAAATTATAACTATTAAAACATTTGTGATATTAATTTATTTACCACCAAACACTTGAGGTCCAATTTGATAAACTGGAGCAAGCTGTGTGGAATAGGAGAAAACTTCACTGTCTTTAAGTTGAAGATTCTTCAAATTTGGTATTGTGATAGTTGAGCCAACAGATTCTATAAAAAAACATAATATAACATATATTCCAGTAAACTAGTTTCTGTAAATATTTGCCCAGTATGTACCTGAACCAATTTTAAAATTACCGAGAAGGAATAGGAATCATTAGTAACACTATGGTTACAAATTCCTTTTTATAATTGTACAAGAACCTAGTTCATGGTTTCTAGAAATTGCATCAAAACCTTTTAAATACTATATATGTATATATATTTACTTACGGTAAGTTATGTTGAAGGAGTCATTTGTAACGAGAGGTTCTTTTCCAGGCCTTTGGAATTGAAAGTAATTGTCATTTCCAATAAATCGTAACTCTTCAAAGTCAACTGCTAGCACTAATCTATCAGTTTTGGTATTTACGCTAAAATAAGAAAGACACTGAAGTAATTTGACACATTTTTAGTAATGAAAAGTATAATTCTTAAAAATAACTCACTAAAATTCAACGATCTTTCCATTAAGACGATTGTATTCGACTTTAAGTGCTGTCACTGTCACATTAATTCCTGGCAGATGTAAAGAAAGATCAGGCCTGTACAACGGGTCCGGGACAGGCCCATAAGTTATTTTACAATGAGAATGTTCCGCAAAAAATTTTCTTATACAATTTACGTCGTATATCCTACAAGGTCTTTCGATGTACTTCTCATCATCTGAAAATAAGCGATCCTTTTTATATTTAAATATAAGTGTAGACGAAACTCGTAACTCGTTATTTGAGTTAATGTTCTGGAACTTATTCCGATTGAAAGACCATGTCTTGTAAGGCTTTCATATAAGTTTTTATTTTTTTATTCCGGCAAAACAAAACACTTACCAGGTGTGGTCACTCCAAAGGCTCCTCTCGCTCTTAAATCTGTAATTGAACGGCCTAATATTATTAGTTGACAATATGATACTCTTACAGATAAGTTTATGACATACATAGTTTAACGTAGCAAAGAGCTTATATCTAAGGCTGAAAAAATATAATATCATATATTTTTTCATATATATTTCTTTATATATTAGTCAAAGCTTCCAATAAAGATAATAAGTACCTTGTGGTAATTCATTTCTTATGCTCTTAACTTCAGACGTTATAAAAACAAAAACTAACAAGAGGACAATCATGTCTAAAGAACACATAAGACATACATTGCATATTATATATGTTACAGTTTTATATGAGACCTCGCGTGACTGTAAAATATATGGAATTGTAATTTATTGAATATCAATTTTTGGAACAGCATTTTTTAATATTAAGTGTTTTTCCACCCGTCTACAAATTATATATGTACACTTCGTATTATATATCTTGTTTCTTTGTCATAATCAACTTCAATGACTTCAATCGTCTTTTATCACTATATCTATTTATACTATAGATATATGACATAAAAAGTTTTATTTTAACTTTATATATTAAATATACAATACACAAATTGAGTTTAATATTTGAATACCCTTGGAAAAGAGTTTGACGTTGGTTCACAATACTTTGGACTATAGTTTGTTATACATATGTTAAAAAACATTCCTCAAACACTTAAGAAATACTTGCCTGTGATAATGGTGATGATCGGGACAATAGTTGTGCATTGGCTTTTTGAACTGACGTAGGTTAAAAAGGAACATACAAAATTTTAAGATTAGAATTAAATCGGCAATAACAATGTAATAACAAAAAAGCTGGTTGTCTATAAAATAACTTCTTATTTATTTAGAAATTTTAAAACAATAATATTTCCCTTTTCGTATGTGTTTTGGGTATCTGTGATATTCGTAATTAATCTCTTTACTCAGTGAGTTTATGAAATAATGTTAGCAATGTTTAGGGATTGGACTGTCCACGAAGGAGAGATCAATTTTAATACAGATTCATTTAATAACGAGACGTTAAATACATCTTTAAGAGATAAAAAGGTTTATTCTTGTTCGTCTCAAATTCGAATTAGTCTTGTGTTTCTCCAAAATACATAATTTGCGTGAATGAACGTATGTACAGTTTATAAAAACACACAAAAAACATTTAAAATTAACACATAAATTGTCATTAATTATAATAATAATTATTATTATAATTGTTTTATTACGACCATTATATAGAATATGAATATTTATTGCAGTTAAATTATTTTGCACTTATACATATTCTATCGTACATATATGGGCATCGAAAACTTTGCTTAATTTGGTTCCAAATAACAAGTGCTAGAATTAGTTAGATATGATTTCAAAACATAGTGGCTTTGTTTATTATTTCATTATTTTGTAGCTAACTTTATTTCCAATATAATTTAACTTCAACTAGTCGTTCTGTCTGAAGGAACATAAATGATATTAAATATGGTATAAAATCAGAAAAAATAAATTTATATATTTCGTTTAAGAATTAGTTAAAACTTTAATATTACAATTATGTTTTATACTTGTAATTTGTTTTTAACCTCTGCCCGTTCCTCTAAGACAAACAGTCATCATCATCATCAGCCTATCAGAGTCCACTGCTTTTTTTTTTTTTTTTTTGTGCGCACTGGGAAAAAATGCTTTACGCATCCCCTCTCCGTTGAGGACGGAGAGGGGTATGTGGGACTCCCCGGGAAAAGGATTCCCGGTATACCCACTAAAATAACCCAGTGGCGCTCCGACCTCGCCTGACTGGCAGGGGGCTGGGAATCCTGTTTGCGTCCAGCCCCCTGCTGGCGATTGCCCACCTTCTGGCGGACCCCTCACGCCCCCCCAGGTGGGGGGGGGATCAGAGTCCACTGCTGAGCAGCCTCTTTGTCACATTTAGAAGGTTTGAGCATTAATCACCACGCTTGCTCAAGACAAACAGTTTTTATATATGTATAAACAATCAAAGCGGTCGTATTTGAAATGATTTGCAATTAATTTTTAACAATCCTCTCTTAATATTATTTCCATATTTCATATCGTTTGTTTTAATGATTTTGTTAGCATTATATGTAACTTAATATGTTCGAAACAGTTCTTGATAAAAATGTTTCTATAATGAAAATTAAATGTTTATCTAATCAAATAAATAAAGTTGGAGTGTCTGTTTGTAATATTGAAATAATGTTTTTTTGCTACATGCATATGTACGAGTATATGTATACGGTACATACACCGAAATATTTTTTTTTTTACAATTTTTGTCTGTCTTTCTGTTTGTTCCGGCTAATCTCTGAAATGGTTGAACCGATTGTGACGGGACTTTACTGTCAGGTAGCTGATGTAATAAGATACAATTTCTGCTACTTTTTTCCCGATCACCAAATTAAGTGTTATCACACGAGAGTGGGATTTAGGACGCACGCGTCGCTTAAAATATTTTCATTCTTTATTTTATTTTTTACGCAGACGAAGTCGCGGGTAACAGATAGTAAGAAACAATGGTGGAGAGAGTTTTTACTAGAATTTTTGACGACCTCGTAATGATCACGAACAGTTGGTCCATGTTTCAAAAATTCAATCCTCTTTGTAATTATTGTCTGAGTAACCATGGCTCATAACGATGGTTAAGAAAAAATATTATAATCACTGTTTTGTTTATAACGGATAACATCTTATTTAGTAAAGGAACATACTCGTAAATTTGTATTCATTTATCCAACAAAACTATAAACGTTTAGATAAACGGTAGTATTGAGAACATTTTTAGAATTATGTTTACATTAAAACGGTACTCATATAAGATTAATTCCATTCATCGCGTGATCAGTTTTTAGATCAAAGTTGTATATCGTTTTGCCGATTATTAACCTTTAATAGTATATACAGTGTTGTTTTATATTATCAAAAATATACATATATGGATAATTGAAGCCCATTAAAAAGATAATTTGCAAAATAAAACGAAAACTTTTAATCATTTGTATATTAGATGGAAAAATATTTTTAAGGATTCTGTCTTTACTTATTATGTAATTATAACATGAATATTTTGGCCCTTATTAACTTTTGGTAACAACATTGTATAAGCAATTCACATGAGTTAGACTTTGTAGATGATTCTAGGATTCGGTTTAAATGAGTAAATATATGTATACATGAATAAAGATGACTTGTATTTCGTCCTTTTCATTGGTTAAAAGAGAAACGAAACCTTCACATTTTCTGATATATCATATTATGTAACCCGACAAAAATATGCGATTATGACATTCACATTGACATTCAATAAACTCTTTCACCGATTTAAATTGGTAACCTTATCTCAACAGTGAACCCTTCTATACTTTCTACCTTATAACATTGTATAAAGTTATGATAGTCAAAACTTTAGATATAATGAACAATACGCTAATAACTGGAACAACCTGTATAACAAACGCTGAATATGTAATGTAAACGTTTGAACTCAATTTGACAAGAGAATAACTTATGTTTCATGTCTCAGACGAGTTAGGGCTGGATGTATCGTGTTGAAGCGATTAACTGAAATAACTTAGTAATTGCATTTACTTAATTAATAATTGTATTATAAGAATAAGGTATACTTAAATTTTAAATTGTTGTATGCTTTGTTATGTGTTTATAAAGTATTAGTTGTTTTTATATGAATATCAAAATACGAACTTTATTGTTAAATAACGATTCTTTTTTTTTGTTATATAGAGTGAACTTCACTGCAGGCCAAAAGTTCAAGGAGAACTTATTTATGTGCATATTATAACAAGAATTATATATTACAAATTACCAACCCGACTTGAGCAAGCGTGATGATTAATGCTCAAACCTTCTCCATGTGGAAGAGGCCTTTGCTCAGCAGTGGGCTCTGATAAGCTGATGACGATTACAACTTACAACCTATGTATACCTAAGATTACATGATTACATTGATATTAGGATGACAATGCCATTACTTTTCTTGTGTGGTATCAGGAATGTACTGATACTAACAGTTAAGTGTTCTTTTCACGACAGCAACATCACTCGCTATCTGATATTTTAACCATTCAACATTGATGTCGGACATCGCCGGGATAATCAATATGTTTCGCTTACATAACAAAGTGGAAAAATAGGATATTATATTGGTTGGTTACTGAGAGTTGGCTATTATTTTCTTGTATAATGACAAAACTACTAGCAATTGTACTTTTTTAATAGACAACTCTTGGCTGTTCTTATTTTGTATATGACTAAAAATAATTTAATTATAATTTGTAGAGCCTTACGATATTTAAAATTTTCAGCAGTAGTACACATATATGTGATAGATTCAGGCAAAGGCACTATTCAGATTTATAAATTTTTTAGCTGTAACACTTTCCATAATTGAAAAAATATTTCAATTATTTTGGAAAACAAAATTGAAAGCGATATAATGATGTTATGTAGGTATAAAGAAATAACAATAAACCTAAAGGACTTTTACGACTTTAATATCATATAAATGAAGTTATTATTTTTTATACTGATACAAAATATTTTTTTTATATATTACATATTGGTGACAATTAAGTTATTGAAACTATAAACCTGTCTGTTTATTTTGGCAATACAAATTCGTATTGAGGATTAAGAGAACAATAAAATATTATCATATTTATTCAAAGCCTATGTTATTTTAACTAACATGAACAAAAAAGAAATATGTAAGACGTAAATGAAATAGATTTGTAACATACAAGTTACAGAACTAAAACATAATATACAAATAAGGTCTGAGACTTTCGGGAGTATTCTATTAAATGAAATAATATTATTTGGATTTGAAATGAAAATGAAATAAAGCTTATATTTTTCGGAGATCAGACACACAAACACACATACACATGATCACATCCCGTCATGCATAAAAGTAAAACTGAAACGTCGGGAGTATGTTGTTTTTAAAATAATAGTATAATCCGAATAATAATAGTTTTATTTAAATAAATATTATAGACCTATAATATATTACATCACATTTTATTCAGATTTTGATTAAATAATAAATATTAATGTTTTCAACCAGAATCGTAAAGTTGAAAACAAGAATAGCAAACAACCTTTGCAAGGGGGTAGTGGATTAGCATATTTGAAACCACCTGCTGAAACTTGGGATTTCCCGGGAGGTGTTAATTTCAGAGTTTCGGCATTCTGATTACCTGAGTGATATTTAATTAAACCGGATTACC